TATAATAAATACATAATATTTTTTTTCAAAAAAATGTGTTCTTACTAGAAATGAGTGCAAGAAATTTTTAATGGAAAACTTTCAATTCTCAACTTCAAAACATCACTACTTTGTACTTGTAAAAAGATTTTTGATGTTTAAATTAAGGTTAAAAATCTTTTTTGGTCCTTGATAATATTTTTTTATTTCAATTTAGTTCCACTTTAATTTTAGATCTCAATTTGATTCCCAATAATTTAAATCATTGCAATTTGGGACTTCCGTCCAAATGATTTAAACGGGGTTAACTCCTGCTGACGTGGATGTCAGGTAGATACCACGTAGATGCATAGGTGGATGCCAAATGTCATGAAATACACTTGGAACCAGAACGACCCGTTTTGAAACCAGAACGGCCCGTTCTGCATGCACATGTTATGTGTTAATTTTGTAACTGGAACGGGTCATTCCAAATGCAAATTTAACACAACATGAGTGCATCAGAACGGGCTGTTTTGAAACCAGAACGAGCCGTTCTGCTATTAGAACGGCCCGTTCCAGAATGCCAACTTCATGCTTTTTATTGTATTTTTTTTATTATATCTATATTAATAAAAATATAATAAAAAAATATAAAGAATTAATATTCATTTATGAATAAAACTAAAAAAAAAAAGAATCAAATAAAATAAGACCTTCCAAAATCCTTCTTTGATTTGAACTTATCCAGTTCAAAATTTTGACTAAAATGCCGCAATGTGATTCAAAAATTGAAAATAAAAATTCATAATATATCATAAATTCAAAGACAGAAACATGGTTGAGAAATTGAAAACAAAAATTCAGAACATAACATATACTAAAAAAGTTCAAAGAAATTATTGAGAAAGGAAATCATCTGGGTAACGCTGAAGGAAAACCCTAAATCACAAAAATTTAGGTTGTACCTCCTCAAGAACAGGTTTTTATTGTTGGGGTACATCGTCAATGACTTCAAGGGGAAACACCGTTTCGTTTCATCCTTGACTGTATAGTGTCAATTTGGTAGTAAGTGGTTCACTCCAGTTTGACTAACAATGAAATAAAACTTGTTACCATTGTCCTTAGTGATACACTGCATCGTCCTTAATGATACACTGTATAACCCAAATGTTTAGCAATTGAAGTTATCAATCCCCATTAACAATATTACCAAATCTAGTGTTTGAAATGCTTTGTACTTTGGTTTTTTTTACACGAAATTTTGGAACCAGAACGGCCCATTCTGGTTACACTGTTGGTGTGTTAATTTTGCATCTAGAACGGCCCGTTCCAGCTACAAAATTTACACACCAATAGTGTAACCAGAACGGGCTGTTCTGGTTTCAGAACGGGCCGTTCTAGTTCCAGGTGTATTCAAGTATTTTGGGATCCACCTACGTGGCGTCTACATGGCATCCACCTGGCATCTACGTGACCACCAGTTAACTCCGTTTAAATCATTTAGATGAAAGTCCCAAATTGCAATGATTTAAATTATTGGGGACCAAATTGATACCTAAAATTAAAGTGAGATTAAATTGAAACAAAAAAAATATTATAAGGGACCAAAAGAGATTTTTAACCTTAAATTAACAATTGTTCTATTATGCGAAATTTAATGTATAATATATGAATATATGATTACGTATATTATGAAGCTCAACTTCTAAACATCACGTGCTTTATACTTGTAAAAGGATTTTCGATATTTAAATCAATAATTGTTCTATTATGCATAATTTAATGTATAATATATGAATATATGATTATGTATGTTATGAAGCTTTGATACATGCATATTTTATACATAATGTTGTTGATGAGGTTTTCACCATAAATATATTCAAGAACTTTTATTATTTTGTAACAGTTGAATGTTACTTTTTGTAATGATTATGACAATAGTGCTATCTTGGTTGAGTTTAGGGTTTACCCAAAAACATCTCTCGCACAATGTGAATAATAATATATCTTTTGCATTACAATCTTATTTTGTATAAGATAAAAAAATTTAAATGGATAGAAAATCTAAAATTGGGATCATTTCCAAATAATAACATATTTGTATAAAAATGAATTTTAAGGTTATAAATATAATTGACTCTAGTGGGTCAATTATGGCAATAAAGACAGTTTGGCAGTCGGGACTACTCCCACCACACAAAGCGGAAGTTGTTGCCCTCTTGGAAGCGCTTCAATGGTTGCTAACTCTCCCATATGAGTTGGTTTGCGTTGAAACAGACTACAAGCAGGTTATTGACAACCTCAATGAGCCTCTATTCACCATTTAGAGTTTGGTATCATTCTAGTACAATGTAGATCTCTACTCACCTCACATAACAACCTTAAGGTTAGATTTATCAGGAAACAAGTCAATCATGTCGCATATTCCCTAGTCGGAACGTCAAGATGTTTTACTATTCCCCACTCTTGTGATTTTATCCCTCCATGTACTGCTTCAATTATTATGAATGAAATGAATGAGTTAAGTCTTTTTCCTTAAAAAAAAATTAATTGACAATCACTTCAATGTTTTTATGATGAATAATGTACAAATAAAAAGATCGATGAAAAAATTAATACTAAAAATTTAGCAATTAATATAAAACTAAATAAAAGACATTCATTAATTTTTTATTTAATTATATGAGCTGAATGATTTAAAAATATATTATAAAAATAAATATGAAAAAAATACCATATTATCCATTTGCATTAGCAAAGGAATACAACCGGAAATCATTTATATAACAGTCTATAACAATATGTAAATGAAACCAAATGATACGGCAAGTTATAAATGCTATCCTCGAAAATTTAGTTGTCAAATTGTTTTCTACTATCTTTATTATTACTAGCAGGAAAACAAATATTATGTGTCTTCATAAAAAAATTAATATTTTTTTGAAAAAAGAATAGTTATTATTTTAAAAAGAACAGATATTTTATTATTTATACTTTTCAAATTTTATCTTTAAATATAATTTAATGAGAAAAAATAAAATATAACACAAAAGTATAATAAAATATTTCTTTTATATATTATTATAGATGTTATGGATAAAATATAAATAATTAGTTCAATAAAATTTAGAAAAAGTAAGTTTTTTTTTTATTAAGATCAATATACAAGTCTTAAATTTTTTCCTTTTTCAAAATTATCTATAACATACACACACACACACAATAAATTAATGTTTGGTTAAAATATTTTGTAATTCTATAATTTCACTTATTTACTTTTTAGTTTATAATTAAAAATAGATACTTTTAGACTATGTATTTATCTTTTTTGGATCATTTTTAATCTCAGTTTGTACACTTTTTAAATATTTTAATCCATATTGTTATTTTTTATTTATAATATTTTCTATTTTTTTTGCTTTTTTAAGCTATTAATTCAATATGTATGATGTTAAATTTATTTTATTAAAATTACTCTAAATTAAATTTTTAATATTTTGTGAATCTTTTGTTCTTTCACCCACTACACATATTATTGGGACACTTTTTTTTCACCCTCGCACAATTGAAGACTTTTATATTTGATGTCGAATTTATTTAGTTGGAGTTACTTTAAATTAGATCTTTTGTCACTTTGTGTCTCTTATGTATGTGAGACCCCCTTTTCTTTTCCTTTTCTCTCCCCGACACTCTCTTCTCACTCACTCTCATTCCCACTCTTTCATTCTCTCTTTGCCTCCTTCATTGATTTCTACTTGCTGTCTCAAGGTGCTGATTCTTGAAGGTTTGGTGTTGCTGTGGTTGCGGACATTCTTCTCTTCTCTTCCCCCGTGCAAGCTCATTTCATCTTCTTCTCGTTTCTCTCTTCCCGGAGCTCAGATTCTTCGTACCGAGGTAAGGGAAGCTAGTTTTGGCTGTGTTTTGTTGAAGACGAGTTCACGAACTCATTTGGTGGCTGACTGACTACTTGAATGATTTGTGGCTGTGTGTGATGAATTTCGTTTTTAGGGTTCTTTGGGGGTTTTGAAAATTTTTTGCATTTCCTTTGATTGTGGTTGCATGTGTAAAAAGGTGGTGTTTTTGAGCTGTGGGTTGAAAATGTGTTACTTTGAATGGATTGCATGTGCTGGAAAAGTGGATTTTTTGTAGGTTTTGGTCAAAATTTTCGAACTTGGGAAAGTAGCTGCTGAGCCCCGCACTGGGCACTGTTCTTCGCGCCGGGTGCGTGACCACCTGGAGGCTCCTTTTAGGCAAGCCGCCAGGCGCAAAGGTGTATGCGCCGGGCGAGCTTGAGAAGGAGAGCCTCTGGATGGCCTATGCCGGGCGTGACCTGGACCACGCCGGGCGCGATATTAGTTGTGCTATGTGTTGGGTTTTCTAGTGCCGCTCTGGGCGCCACCATTGTCGCGCTGGGCGCGGAGGCTCGTTGGGAGTCTCTGCTAGAGAGGCGCTGGGCGCAATATGAATTGCGCCGGGCGCTGTTGAGATTTCCGTTGAAACACTTTTGTTAATATTTGTAAATTCGTTTAATTCTATCAACGGTCTCAAACACGGCAAGTATACCGGCCGTTCAAGTAATAAAAATATCGTATCCACAGGGATTAGAAGGTAATATAAGCATTTATTGACTATTCGTGACTAAAGAATAATTCCAATTTCATAGTTTGTGCAGTGAATTCAAAGTTGTGACTATTGGAATGAAAGCTGTAAATAAATATTGTTTTGTGAGTGGAAAAGGTAAGGAATGGTATTGTGGTATTGTGAGGTTGTGGGGGTCAGATTTCACCAAACGTAACACTAATGTATCCTTAATCTCTTGTTGAATTCATTGCTTAGTCAACCCATAAGTTTACTCAAACCTAATCCCTTAGAGAAAGAGCCTAGGTGCGGATATTGAATATCAATCCCTTGAGTACCCAATATCTACACCCGCATTACGGGCTAGGGTTTAAGACTACTAATGGGTCAAGCTCTATCCCTAGATACAATCACCACTAGGCATATGTTTCAGAACTAGTTTCAAAGGTTATTTTCCAATACCCATGGAACCTTAAATCATGCAAAGGGTGATCAATCCAAAGCAAGCATTAAGAATAGAAACAAACACAACAAAGAATAAAACAACATGTATATATATCATTAAAATCGTAAAGATTACAATAGAGTACGTTGGTTACATCTAACCCCACAAAATGGGTGAAACCACTCAACAAAGAGGGCAAATACAAAATAGAGATGAAAGGAGGATGAAGAACCGAAGGAAAGATCCGCACACGGACGATCCCAAGCCCTGGGAATCCCTTCCGCAGCTCCTGGAGGCGCCCAATGTGAGAATGGAGAGAAAGATCCCCGAAAATGGCTTCAAATACGAGCCTGGGAGATCAGATTAGGGTTCCGCGCCCGGCGCACAATTCTTCGCGCCCGGCGCAAGTTCTTCCAGAGAAGTCAAGCACTCTCTGTCTCAACACAAGCCCGGCGCAATTCCTTTTGCGCCCGGCTTAATTCCTTTTGCGCCCGGCTCAATTCCTTTTGCGCCCGGCGCAATATAACTGGCAGAGATGAAATACTCTGTTTTTGTCACGCCCAGCGCAGGTTATATTGAGCCCGGCGCAGAACCTCTTCTCTGCTCCTTAGCTTCTTAGGTTTCCAATCCTAAGAGTCTTCAACTTTCCACTCTTCCTCAATACCTGCACAAAAAATGAGGTGGATTAAGGTATTGTTAGATGAATTTGGGTTAGTTATATCTGCACACAAAATGAACCAAAAAGAGAACAATTATATTGCAATGGTTCAAAGGATGAGTGGAATTTGTTCAATAAGTCTCATCCAAAAAGAGGTAAAATTGAGACTTAACAGGCGCAAAACCTTGGTAGGTCTCTGCCTTACCCACGCTGGGCGCGGGTTAGGCCACACTGGGCGCGGGTTAGGCCACGCTGGGCGCGTGAGAATCTTTGGAGTCTCTGCCTGGATGTGCGCTGGGCGCAAAGCTGAATTGCGCCAGGCGCGTGAGAGCCTTGGGCTCTCTGGCTGGGTCACGCCGGGCGCGAGCACTCTTGCGCCGGGCGCACTAGCTCCTAGTGCTCTCTGGTCGTGCCACACTGGGCGCGACCATGAGTGCGCCGGGCGCGTATGAGGATGAGGTGTTATATGCTGAAATTTGCTGAAATTGATGAATATGTTGTGCTGACTAGATGTAATGCTGAAAGATGATGTTAAGCTATAATAGATGTATATAGCTGTGCTGAGCTGTGCTGTTATTGATGATTTTAAATGCTGATTTGATGTGCTGTGCTGTGAGCTGTGTTAGCTGAGCTGTATGATGATTACTAGCCACTATTGTGGTGCTGTTATAGCCGCTATGTCGGTACTGTTATTAGCCACTATTGTGGTGCTGTTATTGTCGCTTTGCGGTGCTGATATTGTTGAATGTTGTGGTGTAACATAAGTTGTGCTGGTGTGCTGATAGTTGTAGCTGTTATCATATTGCCATATATGTATACTAATTTCTTTTCACTAGCTTACCCTTTGTTGTCTCCATGATGTTTGGACTGCAATGATCATACTATGTATGAGAGCAAAGCAGGGATAGGTTGGTGGCTGATGGTGAGTCTGTAGTTGGCAGACGGAGTTGATTTTCTAGGATTTTTTAATGTATAGCTACTTAGTGTAGTAGCTTTTGTTGTATTTTGTAGACTTTAACTCTATCCAGACTTGGATCATGTATATGTATATATTATAGACCCTATATGTATACACTTGTTCCTTTCTGTGTGGTGTTTCTAGTGTGTTTGCGGTGTGTAGTGACCAGCTGGGTCGTTACAATGTACCTTCACTTGCAACATCACTCATTGTTGAAATACTTTTTTTACCCTCACACAATTGTAAATTTTTGTGTCTAATGTCAAATTTATTTTGTTAGAATTATTCTAAATTAGGTCTTTTAATATTTTGTGTCTCTTTTGTATTATCACTACCACACACATTGAGATACTTTTTTTAATTCTCACATAATTAAAGACCTCTATCACGTTAACAAAAAATAAACAATATTAAAAAAATTTAATAAAACTTAATAATAGAATTTAAAGGATTAAAAATTGTACGTATAAAAACTAAAAAAATCTATCTTAAATTATAGGGACTATAAATAATAAAAGATAAAAATAATGATTAAAAAATTATTTTAAACTATATAAATTAAAAGGTAAAAATAAATAAAAATATAAGAAAAAAATATTTGAACATTTTAATCAAATGGAGTATATAATTGCATGATACATTCTCTTACAAGTATCACATTTTATGCAATTTTACTAAAACAGTATACTTTCCTATTTATGATTGTGGTGTTTAAATAATTATAGAGGGGCAAATTAAAAAAATTAATACTATAATTTATTTGAAATATTTTTAAATATTAAAACGGTAGATATTACCTTACAGAAGGTTTAAAGGGGAATGGTATTTAATATTTATGATAATAGAGTAAGAAAACCGATGGCTGAAATTAACTGAACAAGTAATTAGATGATAAAGCTGAGAATAATGCGTATTAACGTGGAATGAAGGCGTGAGGAAGGTTTAGGGTGTCCCGAACCTGATGCATCAACGGTGGAAGAAACGTGTATTGGGTCCGAAGCAATCATCACGGTGAAATATAGAAACCTGACGTAGGCTAGGATGCAGGGATTCATGGAATGCATGTGGCACGCGTGTCTAGAAAATACAAAATACATAAATAAAAATAAAAATGAGATACTATGATTTGATGATTCTCTGTAGCGGACGCAGCCTTAGCCGCCGTCAGCGCTAGGCAAAGAAAGAATCAAATTCGACTCCTAAGTCTTAAGTCTTAACTCGCATGCTATGCAGCTTTATGCTATTGCTAGTAACTGCCCATATAAACTCATGAGATTCACGCCTTCTTCCAAATTCTTAGCCTTTTCTAATCCCTTTTACAAACCCTCTTTCCC